CTTGACAGAAACTGCTCTTTTTCAAGAACAGCTCTTATCAGAACTACGGCTCTCCCAAGGTCATCCAGCCAGGTGCAAGTGGAGGAGTGGGGAATCAAACCCGGTTCTCCCAGATTAGAGTCCTCACACTTAACCACTATCCTGGGACAATGTTTTAGGGTATGTAATTAATTTCCTGACATACTGGGCCTCAAGGTCAATTCACAGAAAACACGTGTAATACACTTAAAATACGTTGAAATACACCTTTTAAAAAAACCCTTTATTTTCCATTTTTAGGAGCACCGCAAATGTATACAAAATAACCTAAAACTTCGTAGAGTTCTGGAAAGGAGAAAATGTAGATGAGTTTTCTCACACATGGATGGAAGCCATACAATACTGGAATAGAAGAAGAAGAAGAAGAGATTGGATTTATACCCCGCCCTTCACTTGGAGTCTCAGAGCGGCATACAAATTCCTTTCCCTTCCCCTCCCCACAACAGACACCCTGTGAGGTAGGTGGGGCCGAGAGAACTCTGACAGAGACTGCTCTTTTTCAAGGACAGCTGTGCCAGAGCTTGTGACTGACCCAAGGTCACATCAGCAGGTGCAAGTGGAGGAGTGGGGAATCAAACCCGGTTCTCCCAGATTAGAGTCCGCACACGGACTCTAATCTGTACGGTTATATTGCACGGCGCATCTTTAATGCTTTGGGATCAAGGACTGCATCAGTCTAGAACTACCGATGGCACTGTAGTGAAAAAGAAAACTGCGGCCCACCCTACCCAGAAGCTGCCGCTAGAGGGAGGGAAACACACAGCTTTAAAGGGAATCTGGACACCGGGCTGAGGTCAAAGCTTCCAACACAGCCGCGGTGATGAATTCCAAGGAGTTCAGAACACCAGAGTGATTAGTGGAAGAGAGTCATCAAGCAAACGACAGGCAATTATAAAGCAACGGCAAGTGTCACTCAAAGGCACATTTACAGTTAGTCAGCAGTATGGGTTGAAAGCTTTGTTGTGTTTTATCTGACAGCAATGCTGATTCTGTGAATTTAGGCAGATCATGAGAAGGGAGGGCAGGAAGGGAAGAGGCAGTGCCCGGCTCACGTGGCCGTTTCTCACATGTCCAGGGTAATCCAGGGCTATTTTTGGGCAGGAACGCACAGGAACAGAGTTCCGGCTGGCTCCCGAGTTGGCCACGCCCAGCAGGAACGGAGTCCGCACACGGACTCTAATCTGTACGGTTATATTGCACGGCGCATCTTTAATGCTTTGGGATCAAGGATTACATCAGTCTAGAACTACCAATGACACTGTGATGAAAAAGAAAACTGTGGCCCACCCTACCCAGAAGCTGCCGCTAGAGGGAGGGAAACACACAGCTTTAAAGGGAATCTGGACACCGGGCTGAGGTCAAAGCTTCCAACACAGCCGCGGTGATGAATTCCAAGGAGTTCAGAACACCAGAGTGATTAGTGGAAGAGAGTCATCAAGCAAACGACAGGCAATTATAAAGCAAAGGCGAGTGTCACTCAAGAGCACATTTACAGTTAGTCAGCAGTATAGGTTGAAAGCTCTGTTGTTTTTTATCTGACAGCAATGCTGATTCTGTGAATTTAGGCAGATCATGAGAAGGGCGGGCAGGAAGGGATGAGGCAGTGCCCGGCTCACGTGGCCCTTTCTCACATGTCCAGGGTGATGCCCAGGGCTATTTTTGGGGCAGGAACGCACAGGAACGGAGTTCCGGCTGGCTCCCGAGCTGGCCACGCCCAGCAGGAACTCGTTAGCGTAACAGGCCACACCCAACAGCAGAAACTCATTAGGACTGGCTATATTAGGGGTGTGTGGCCTAACATGCAAAGGAGTCCCTGCTACAAAAAAAGGCCCTGGGTTTTGACCACAAACAAGGTAAACAGAACAAGAAGCAAAAGGTGGGTGTGGCTGGACAACCACACATCTGGTAACATGGGGGTGCGGCCTAATGTGCTAATGAGCTGTGTTGTCAGGGGTGTGGCCTAATATGCTAATGAGTTTCTGCTGTTGGGTGTGGCCTATTATGCTAATGAGTTCCTGCTGGGCTTTTTCTACAAAAAGAGCCCTGACTCAATGCCAATCGCCAGGAAAGAACTTCAGGTTAGGTTGGCCCAGGGATCCTGCAGGTTTTTTCCCTTCCTCTGGGCATAGAGCAGGGGTCATTGGGGGAGTGGGGCCCCCCTCCGCTGGCTGAAAATTTCCTGCATTGTGTGAGAGGCTGGACTTGATGATCCTTGAGGTCCCTTCCAGCTCTATGTTTCCATGGTTTTCAACAAACAAAAGAACAGTCCTTTTTCAGAAATAATGTTTGTGTGTGGAGGAGGAGACTGGACGTATACCCTGTCCTTCACTTCCCTTCCCCTCCCCACAACAGACACCCTAGGAGGGAGGTGGGGCTGAGAGAGCTCTTCTGAGAACTGCTCTTGAGAGAACAGCTCTGGCAGAACTGTGGCTTGCCCAAGGTCATCCAGCAGGTGCGAGTGGAGGAGTGGGGAACCAAACCCGGTTCTCTCAGATTAGAGTCTGCACACTTAACCACTGCACCAAAGAAGAAGAGGAGGAGGAGATTGGATTTATACCCCGCCCTTCACTACCCAAAGGAATCTCAGAGCTGCTTACAATCTCCTCTCCCTTCCCCTCCCCACAACAGGTACCCTGTGAGGTAGGCGGGGCTGAGAGAGCTCTTGACAGAAACGGCTCTTTTTGAAGATCAGCTGCGCCAGAACTATGGCTTGCCCAAGGTCATCCAGCAGCTGCAAGCGGAGGAGTGGGGAACCAAACCCGGTTCTCCCAGATTAGAGTCCGCGCATGTAACCGCTATACCAAACTGGTGTGTGGGGGGGTGCGTGGACACACACTTTTTAACTTGTGTTAATGTCAGTGAGCGATATCATCTTGCCGACAAATAAGTGGTCCCAAACGCAGTCCAGCCGCCTGTACAACTTAGAGATAAGCATTTCATCCGCTACGAAGCACAGAAGGAATGCAGCAGCAATTAGTAGTCAACAGATCTCCCCAACTCCCAAGGCAGCATAGCTGACAAGCTGGGGACCTGACCCCAGGTTTGCCCAAGGCTGCTGCTCTGCCCCCCCGCCCCCGCTCCTGGTGCTTACCTAAGGAGTCCTTCAGGGTGTAGGTGAGCTTGCTCTGCCGGAAGGGGACGTGCTCCCTGTTACGCTCAGACAACGCGAGGACGACTTGCTCAAAGAACGACAGCGACTTGTTGATGTAGGTCGTCTCCTTCAGTCCGCGACCCTCCGACTGTTGACAAGGAAGACATTCAGAGCACCAGTTCTGCCGTCATTCTCCCAGGTGTGCTCTGACCAATGTTCCCTCTAAGCTGTGGAGTCTGGTGAGCAAAAAGTCTACTTTGCGAGCTACCGGAATTAAAGTTGTGAGCGAACGCTTTGGCTACCGCATAAATTAGTTTGCCCTGGGGCCCTCCTTCCTGAGCCAAGACAAAAATGTGTAAGCCGGAGGCTAAAAAACGGTGAGCTGGCTCACATGAACTCAGCTTAGAGGGAACACTGGCTCTGACTATTCTCACTACGGTTGCCAGCCTCCAGGAGGGGGCCTGGAGATAGCCCACAAGGCTACACTTCGCGGAGGAGAAGGGCCTCAGTGAGATAAACTACCACACAGCCCAGCCTGCAGAGCAGCCGCTTTCTCCAGGGGAACTGATCTCTGTAGACTGGAGAGCAGTTGTCATTCCGGGACATCTCCAGGCTGCATACGACCAGCGCAGTGTGTGGGTGGTTCACCCTTTCCCCCCACACCAGCTGAAAATTGGGCACACAACTCATCCCACCAGCTGGTTTCACTCCCACTAAGGTCTTTTTGCTCACTGAAAGTGAAGCGATGCCCAGTGGGAATAATCGACCACTCCAGCAAGAAGAAATATCTGCGGAGGACAAACACAGACAAACAAGCAGGGCTCTGGATAAGCGTACTGGTATTCCTTCTATAGCTGCGGTGGCTCGAGTGGTTAAGACGCTGAACTGCAGGCTGTGGAAGGTCGGTAGTTCAGCAGTTCGAGACCCGGGTGTGCCGCATGACGGAGTGAGCTCCCGTCTCTAGTTCCAGCTCCTGCCAACCTAGCAGTTCGACAGCAAGAAATTGCAAGTAGATAAATAGGGACCACTTTGGTGGGAAGGTCACAGCGTTCCGTGCACCTTGGTGTTTAGTCATGCCGGCCACATGACTGCGGAAACGTCTTCGGACAGCGCTGGCTCTTCGGCTTTGAAATGGAGATGAGCACTGCAATCCTAGAGTCGGACTCGACTGGCTTTCGAGCAAGGGAACCTTTACCTTTACCTATTCCTTCTATGGGGACCGTTTTTCAGGGGCACGAACGGGAAAACCAGGTTCTTATCCACCTTCAAGCAGCTTACCTGACTCGTCGGCACCAGATGAAGCATGTCATTCCAGCTTACTCACCTTGCTCTTGGCCAACCTCTCCGAGCCCGCCAGATCTACTAGGTTAATTTTGGAGGTGACGAAGGTGGCGTCTGACATGATTCTGGAATGACACTGGGGGAGAAGATCGAAAACATTAGCAGGCACTGGACAGAATCAGGGCTAAAGAGCCACAGGAGCCTGGATCTTCCAGACTGCCGTGAAAACGTCTGCCAATGATTTATTCAGCAAAAAAATCAGTCTAGGACATATTGGACACAGCAGCACCTTTTTAGCAGAGGTAAAGGTTCCCTTGCTTGAAAGCCGGTCGAGTCCGACTCTAGGGTTGCAGTGCTCATCTCCGTTTCCAAGCCGAAGAGCCAGCACTGTCCGACGACGTTTTCCGTGGTCATGTGGCCGGCATGACTAAACACCAAGGCGCACGGAACTCTGTTAGCTTCCCACCGAAGTGGTACCTATTTATCTACTTGCAATTTCTTGCTTTCGAACTGCTGGGTTGGCAGGAGCTGAAACTAGAGATGGGAGCTCACTCCATCATGTGGCACCCGGGTCTCGAATTGCTGAACTACTGACCTTCCACAGCCTGCAGTTCAGCGTCTTAACCACCTGAGCCACTGCAGCTCCTTTAGCAGAGGACTAAGTGTCTAATTGCCGGCATTACAACTTAAAAGATTCATCTCTTCAACACATTTTAGGCCTGTCCAGTTATACGACCTTTTCGGGAGGAAAGTAATTACTCATATCAATTTGGTATTGGAATATTAATCGATTTTCGAGGATAATTATGTACTTTTAACGATCTGCCTGTCTCCTGGAGACTAACTTATGGTCAACAGAAATGGACCCTTCATCCCCTACTGTTGCTAAAAGGCTTATATTACAACAAAGATAAATGCCCATCTCCAGGAAATCAATAGACGGAGGACCTTATAACCTTATCAACATTTGAACTTACAGCATACAGACAACAACTGTATATGGACATGTTTTTAGATATTTGAAAACCTTTTATGGAGTCTTACGTGTAGACTTAATAGCACTGTTGGTACCGTTTCTATTTTTTCCCCTTCCATGGAGATAGCTCAAGATGGGTAGCCGTGTTTGTCTGTAGCAGTAGAAAAGAGCAAGAGTCCAAGAGCACTGTAAAGACTAAGGAAATTTATGGCGGGGATGAAAGCTCATCCCCTACCACAAATTTTGTTAGTCTTTGCCGCATGACGGAGTGAGCTCCCATCTCTAGTTCCAGCTCCTGCCAACCTAGCCGTTCGAAAGCAAGAAATTGCAAGTAGATAAATAGGGACCACTTTGGTGGGAAGGTCACAGCGTTCCGTGCGCCTCGGTGTTTAGTCATGCCGGCCACATGACCACGGATACGTCTTCGGACAGCGCTGGCTCCTCGGCTTTGAAACGGAGATGAGCACCGCAACCCTAGAGTCGGACTCGACTGGCTTTCGAGCAAGGGAACCTTTACCTTTACCTAAGGTGGCACAGGACACTTGCTCTTTTCCGTTGTTGTTTTTTTTCCTGTCTGAGGCTTGTAATTATTATTTTTTAATTCATAAATTATACCAGCACTGACCTCAATGTAAACAGTGAAGATGCAGTGGGACCGAGAGGAGTGGCTGTTCAGAGCATGCTGGCCGACGGTTCTGTTGGTGTCACCCTGGAAAGAAAATAAAAATGGGGAGGTGCCTACGCCAGAGAGGAAAAGGAGGGGCTGTGGCTCAGTGGGAGATCATCTGCTTGGCATGCAGAAGGTCCCAGGTTCAATCCCCGGCATCTCCAGTTAAAAAGGACCAGGCAGGAGGTGATGGGAAAGACTTCCGCCTGAGACCCTGGAGAGCTACAAAGAGGGGCTGTGGCTCAGTGGTCGAGCATCCGCTTGGCATGCAGGAGGTCCCAGCTTCAATCCCCGGCATCTCCAGTTAAAAAGGACCAGGCAGGAGGGGATGAGAGAGACCTCCACCTGAGACCCTGGAGATCTGTAAAGAGGAGCTGTGGCTCAGTGGCAGAGCACCTGCTTGGCATGCAGAAGGTCCCAGGTTCAATCCCTGGCATCTCCAGTTAAAAAGGACCAGGCAGGAGGTGACGGGAAAGACCTCAAGCCTGAGACCCTGGAGAGCTGTAAAGAGGGGCTGTGGCTCAGTGGGAGATCATCTGCTTGGCATGCAGGAGGTCCCAGGTTCAATCCCCGGCATCTCCAGGTAAAAGGACCAGGCAGCGAGTGGTGTGAAAGACCTCCACCTGAGACCCTGGAGAGCTGTAAAGAGGGGCCGTGGCTCAGTGGTTGAGCATCCACTTGGTATGCAGGAGGTCCCAGGTTCAATCTCCAGTTTAAAGAATGAGGCAGTAGGTGATGAGAAAGACCAGAGATCCTAGATAGCCGCTGCCAGTCTGAGTAGACAAGACTGATCTTGATGGACCAACGGTTCTGATTCAGTATCAGGAAGCTTCATGAGTTCACCACCAGACCTAGCTCTGGCCACCTCAGGGGGGCAGGTATCCTGTGGGAGGGACCGGAGGGCGAGCCTGTGCCATTCGATTTGCGTTTCTATCAATGTCTTTATTTCCATCATTTGGACCCTGCCTTTCTCCCCAGTGAAGACCAGTGTTCCCTCTAAGCCGACTTAGTGTGAGCTAGCTCCGTTTTTTAGCCTCCAGCTCACAGTTTTGTCTGAGCTCGGGAAGGAGGGCTCCAGAGCAGACTAATTGATGCAGCAGCCAAATCGCTCGCTCACAACTTTAATGACAGTAGCTCACAAAGTAGAATTTTTGCTCACAAGGCTCCACAGCTTAGAGGGAACAGGTGGCACGCATCATTCTCCTCCGTTTTATCCTCACAACGACCTTGCGAGGTAGGTTAGGCCATGACAGTATGTGACTGGCCCAAGGTCACCCGGTGAGCTTCCATGGCGAGCTCCCATGACCTGGATGGCCCAGGCTCACTCATTCTCATCAGATCTCGGAAGCTAAGCAGGGTTGGCCCTGGTTAGTATTTGGATGGGAGACCGCCAAGGGAAGTCCAGGGTCGCTACGCAGAGGCAGGCCATGGCAAACCACTTTACCTATTGCCTTGAAAGCCCTATGGGACTTTATGGACGGAGATGGTTTGCCATTGTCTGCCTCTGTGTAACAACACTGGACTTCCTTGCTGGTCTCCCATCCAAATAACAGAAATTTGTATTTTTATAAACAAACACCTGACAAACAAACAACAAATCACATAAAAATTGGGGTAACATATCCATCATTGTTTTTAACTATTACGTTACCTCCTACATTGTCTCGTTTAGAATTTCATACTTGTCACCAGCGCTATTTTTGGGCAGGAACGCACAGGAACGGAGTTCCGGCTGGCTCCTGAGTTGGCCACGCCCAGCAGGAACTCATTAGCCTAACAGGCCACACCCAACAGCAGACACTCATTAGGATTGGCTACATTAGGGGTGTGTGGCCTAACATGCAAAGGAGTTCCTGCTACAAAAAAAGGCCCTGGGTTTGGACAACAAACAAGGTAAACAGAATAAGAAGAAAAAGGTGGGTGTGGCTGGATGACCACACTTTTGGTAACATGTGGGATGTGGCCTAATATGCTAATGAGCTTGCTGTCAGGGGTGTGGCCTAATATGCTAATGGTTTCTGTTGTTGGGTATGGCCTATTATGCTAATGAGTTCCTGCTGGGCTTATTCTACAAAAATAGCCCTGCTTGTCACCTTACGTTTTTACGTAAATACTTCGCATTGTAGTTGAAAATATAATTTGTATCATCCTCTAATTCGGTTATGTTCCATATAGTTCATTTATTGTATGCTTCCAAACGCTTGTAAAATCTCGACTGTGTATTTTCAAAAGTTTCCTCCTCTCGTCCTCTCAAAATTTAAAGTTAACTTATCCGTCTCTGCAGTCTCAAGCGTTTTATTGACAATTTCTTCTCTGGATGGTACCTTTGTTTTTTCTCCAATATTTAGCATATCATATTCTTGCGGTTGTCAATATATGCATAATAAGATAAAAGTCTTGTTCTTTTACAGGTATATAAGGTACAATGCAGCCTAACATTTTTTGTAACATTTGTCTCCCATCCAAATACTGACCAGGGCCGACGCTGCTTCGCTTATGGGATGTGATGAGATTGGGCTCGCCTGGGCCGTCCAAGTTGGGGCGGTGGCATTTTAGCAGCCCGTTTTGGCCAGCGTTTGGCAGCGGCGGCGGAACCCTCATGTGACTCACTGACCTCCCCCAGGTTGAGGATCTGAGCCCTGTTGTTGTTCAGTCACACAGTCGAGTCCAACTCTTTGCGACCCCATGGACCAGATCACGCCAGGCCCTCCTGTCTTCCGCCGTCCTCTGACATTTGCTCAATTTCATGGTCGTTGCATCTATGACACTGTCTAACCATCTCATCCTTTGCCGTCCCTGTCTTCTTTGACCTTCAATCTTTCCCAGCATCAGGGTCTTCTTCTCCAGGGAGTGCTCCCTTCTCATTGGGTGGCCAAAGTATTTGAGCTTCATTTCATTATCTGGCCTTCCAGGGAACAGTCAGGGTTGATTTCTTTTAGGATTGACTGATTTGATCTCCTTGCAGTCCAAGGGACTCTCAAGAGTCTTCTCCAGCACCATAGTTCAAAAGAATCTATTCTTCGGCACTCGGCCTTCCTTATAGTCCAACTCTCGCAGCCATACATGACTACTGGGAATACCATTGCTTTGACCATGCAGACTTTTGTTGAGCCCTGACAGATGCTAAATTTTACATCCCTGCAGACTTCGAGGGGTTCAAATCAGCCACAGGCTCACAGCCTAGGCAAAAGGTGGGCAGTTCACCGGTCTCGACGTGGCAGCAGAAAACACCCGTTCCCAATGTTTACGAAAAGAAACCTCTGTCTTCATGTTGTATTGGAAGGAGAGTTTACAGTGTGTGGACAGGATGGAGCAGAAGGCTCAGGAAGATGGCTGCCGCCAGGACGACCACTTTATAAGCAACTTTAAGCTGCCGGGTTCCTTCCCCCGGGAACGGTGAGGATTGTATGATCCACAGTGGATTCTCATCAAGCATGATCGAGGGTTACAAGATTAGGCGTGCGATAGAGCAGGTAGAGAAAGAAGTACTTTTCTCCCTTTCTCACAAGACAAGAACTCGTGAGGCACTCCATGAAACTGCTGAGCGGTTGGGTTAGAACGGATAAGAGGAAGTGCCCAGCTCGAGCGTGTCCAGAAGAGGGCAGCCAGGATGGTGAGAGGGTTGGAATCCAAGTCTTATGAGGAAAGGATGAAAGAGTTGGGTCTGTTTAGCCTGGGAAAGAGAAGGCTTAGAGGGGACACGATTGCAGTCTTCAAGTATTTGAAGGTCTCTCATGTAGGAGCTGGGGTGGCTCAAGTGGTTAAGACACTGAACTGCAGGCTGTGGAAGGTCAGTAGTTCAGCAGTTCGAGCCCCGAGTGCCGCATGATGGAGTGAGCTCCCGTCTCTAGTTCTAGCTCCTGCCAACCTAGCAGTACGAAAGCAAGAAATTGCAAGTAGATAAATAGGGACCACTTTGGTGGGAAGGTAACAGCGTTCCGTGCGCCTTGGTGTTTAGTCATGCTGGCCACATAACCACGGAAACGTCTTCGGACAGCGCTGGCTCTTCGGCTTGGAAACGGAGATGAGCACCTCAACCCTAGAGTCGGATTCGACTGGCTTTCGAGCAAGGGAACCTTTACCTTTTACATGTAGAAGAGGGAGCTCCTGATTGCCAGACTAGATCTAATGGGTGGAAATTACAAGGGAGTCATTACCAGCTAAATATCAGGAGAAACTTCCTAACTGTAAGAGTGGTTGAGCAGTGGAACAGTCTGCCTCGGGAGGTGGTGGATGCTCCTTCGCTGGACATACCCATCTTTCGGCTATGTAGGGTAGGTATGTAGGGCTATCCTTCAGCTATGCTCCTGCAGAGTGCAGGGGGTTGGACTAGATGACCTGCAAGGTCCCTTCCAGCTGTTAACATTCTATGATCCTATGATTCTACGATAAGTCCTTCTTCACCCAAAGAGTGATGAACATGTGGAATTCACTGCCATAGGAGGTGGTGGCGGCTACAAGCACGGACGGCTTCAAGAGGGAATTGGATAAACATCTGGAGCAGAGGTCCATCAGTGGCTCTTAGCCACAAGGTATAGATAGGAACTCTCGGTCTGGGGCAGATGATGCACTGTATTCTTGGTGCCTGGGGGAGGCCACAGTGGGAGGGCTTCTAGTGTCCTGGCCCCACTGGTGGACCTCCTGATGGCACCTGGTATTTTTGCCACTGTGTGACACAGCGTGTTGGACTGGATGGGCCGTTGGCCTGATCCAACACTGGCTTCTCTTATGTTCTTATGTCTGGGGCAAGGGATGCTCTGTCGTCTTGGTGCTTGGGGGG